AAATCCTGTTACCGTTACCTACTGTAATGAGGTTTAAAAAAAAAATTGATTGTTGTTTTAAAATGGCTTGTTGAGTACATAACGAAGGGACAATACCATTAATTAAATGCTATAAAGAAAGAACGATACCCCAACTAGTGCTGATTACAAGTGACTATTTATTTATCCTATAAATTTTGAAACGTGCAAAATCAAATTAATAATAATCGAAATAAAAAGCTCTGTTAACTTACAGCACGTGAATATGAATAATAATAACAGAAAGGTACAAATATTAATCCACATACGCAGTGACAATCTTCAGGTCTTGTATTTCCTGTATCTCACAAGTCACAGTCTACCGTATTGTTTATAGCCTAGTGGTTAGACATTTCCAGAATCAAAACTCTAGCAAGATGGGTATTCTCTATCTCTGTGTATAACCTTCTGGTAAGTTCTAGAGAAGCAGTGGTTGGTTGATGACGACTGGACCAGTTAATTGGTTTTGACGGTAAACACAACAAAAGGGGAGATAATTCAACTATACAACCCCCAGCGTTGAACCAAAAATTGGGTCATCAAAGTCTATATGCAGGACAGGGCTATAACAATGCTAACAAATAAATGTATGTTGTCATCCTTCTAGGGTGTCCTTGACGATGTTGCCTATCGGTCAATCCAAGGTGGAGCGCAGGATCTTGGGAAAGGTACAACAATTGGGGAAGGAGTCCTGTGTGAAGTAATGCTGACTGCTTTACTTGTAACAGTCATACTTCTTACAGCCGTAGACCCGGAAACTAAAAGTACGCTTGCCCCATTGGCTATCGGCTTCACTGTAGTCGTGGATATTCTTGCTGGGTGAGTCTAGGATTGGTGAAAGTGAATTTGTTGAAAGAAGCCTCAAAAATATCATCGACAAAATCTTCAACATACACCTATACAATTAAAAGTAAGACCATATAAAATTTCAAATTACATCCATAAAATAAATTTAATAATTTAAAATACTTTGAAATGCAACTAAGTTAATGGTTCCCAAAGTGGGATTTGGGGGGGGGGGGTGTCTCAATCTATTCATTTGGCTTAAAAATTCTTTAAAAAATATACTATAATTGAGATTTCCAGGGTGGGATATTTTTAATTTTTTTTTTCCGGAAATTATTTAAAATTTCAAAATACATACATAAAATAAATTTAAAAATTTAAAATACTTTGAAATGCAACTAAGTTAATGGTTCCCAAAGGGGGATTTGGGGGGGGGGGGTGTCTCAATCTATTCATTTGGCTTAAAAATTCTTTAAAAAATATACTATAAGTGAGATTTCCAGGGTGGGATATTTTTCATTATTTTTTTCCGGAAATTATGGTGAGAGCCCATCGTAAAGAAAATGGCACATCTGCCACTGACAATTAGCACTGAGATTTGACATATCGATCATGACCTGTACAATAAAGATATATTACTTTTAGCTGAACAAAACGCCAGCATTTCAATGCAAGTCTGCTTTTTATTTAAAACTTTTCAACACTTTTCATATAAATATCCTATATTTATTTTGCTGCTTTTGTCTGGATGAAGTCTATTTAAAAAAACCCAGCTATTAAAAGGTGTTACCGGCAAAGAAAACATTTATTGCACACGATTCACCACCATGAAATTTTGTTTATTGGCAGTGGTACTCTTACCGGTGCATCAATGAATCCTGCTCGGAGTTTTGGGCCAGCTGTCGTATCTAATGCCTGGAACAACCATTGGATTTACTGGGTGGGACCTGGTGTAGGGGCCCTCTGGGCTGTGTTTATCTACAGGTAGGAAATGGTTTGTCAAATAGTTGTAGAATAACTTTATATAAGTTGACTGATAATACCATCAATAAAAATATGGATTCTAACTGTATGTGGAAAAAAAAGGCTAACACGTCATTTTTTATGTTAGCCTTTTTTAAAAATAATTATATCAGCTAATAAGTTACGTCATTTTTTATAACTTATTATTAGCTGATATAATTATTTTAAGTCCACTGTACCTCATCTAGTATCAATTTTGTGACAAATATTTTAATTAATTTTTACACAATGTTCTGGTCTATCTTATTTTTCATTAGCCTTTATTAACTACCCTGAACTTTCCCACACAGGCTTATTCTGGCCAGTCCTGAAAAAAGGTTTCTCAGACTCTACAGTTCAAACTAGACAGGCCAAGATCCAATTGGTAAAGATGTGATCCCATCAGGCATTTCACTGAAGTAACTTGTTCTCCTTAATATTCTTGAGAACATCACAAATAACCTTTGTCCACCACCTGTAATGTTTGAAAATGTTAAAAGCTAATTTTAAAAGTTTTAATGTTACTTTAAAGCATGACACAACAAATAGTTTCCAAGTTAAAACACATAATATAACTTTAACCATTGAATTTCCTAAATATTTGATAAGAATCTTATATACTGAACAATTTATATACCGATAGATTTATTAAAAATTACAGTAAGCTTCTGTAATAAGATTTTCAGAATAAGTGAACTCTTTAAAAAAAAAAATTAATAAACCCAGACATCCCCATGATCTTGTTCATGAAAAGATTATATTGTTGACTAATACTAATACTCTATTTTGTATGTTAATTTGTTTTTTTTTGCAAATGAACATGAGTTGATATGCTTGAGGAATGGACTTGATGTGCTCAGAAACTCGTCAGCATCCAGGCTTATGTCATTATGTGCTGGTTAACCATGTTTGTTATTGGCATTATTGGTCAATGTTTTTTTGTTGTTTAGAGGCATCAAATGCTTAGGTTTTTTTTTTAGATGCAATAATGTCTCACTAGATACCATATTTAATTTTTATGCAATACCACCCCTAGAAACTGCGTTTACAAAATCAGATTTGTTGATTTTATCTTTTGTTACTCAATAATTTAATGATCATGGGCTGACGCAAGAGTTTATACACATTTTTGATGACCTTGTAATAGAGTCTTCAGTTGTGCAACTATATGGCTGGATCTTTTTGGTAGTTTGCCAGAAACCTGGTCTGATATTGTGGATATTGTATTTTTTGTAATTTAGCAGAGCAGGTTTATAATTATAAAGTGCTATAAGCCAAGGACGGCAGCAATTTTAAAATGGAAGTGTTAAGCATGTTAGTAAATAAAGTTGGATACGGAATAGAAAGCCAAAGTGTTAAATAGACATGTTTCACAGCATTAGAAAACGTGAGTTATCTCTGCAGCTGTTATTGAAAGATCTCTGGAAAGAAGTGAACGTTGTTTTAAGATTATCTATGTCATGCTGTGGCCTTAAAAAATATAATAGCAACAGCCATCTGCACAGCCACAGCCAAGTTCACAATTAGCATATATGCCGATTCAGGTGGTCATGGTCGATTTCAACTGACGAACTTAACTACATATATACCATAATAAAAACTGTTATTTGTAACTTTTTTATTTTTATGAAGAGTGCAATAGTTTATGCAAGGTTCATTCTATTTTACTTAAGTTTTGTTACAAATGTAGAAAGGTTGTGAACCAAAATGTCTAAAGTTCTAAAGTCAAGTCAAAGATGGTAATTACATGACTTGTTTGGAGGATAATTGTTTTTTTCATTCAATTTCAATTTTTTGGAGGATAATTGTTTTTTTCATTCAATTTGAATTTAACATTAAAACCAGTGAACATTCCACTCACCACTTTACATTGTGAGGAGATAACACTGGATTTAATACTAAAAGTCCTTTATACTTAAAATAAATTTTTTTGGCAAAACAATTGAAGTTGTGTAAATCTAATACTGAGCTTTTCTTAAAGTTTATTAAGATATTTATGTCATTAGTAATAATGAGTATTGAGACTTATGTTAACAATGAAATAAATTACCCTGTCTTACCTCATCCTGGATCTTCGCTTCAGTATTATGAATTTATTAAGTATATCACATATATATAATATGTTAAATTTGATATTAGTTTTTAAAAATATGTTAATATTGCTGGTAATTGTATTTTATTATAAACTTCTATTCACTTGTTCCCCCCCCCCCCCCCACCCATGAACCATTACAACGATGCTCCTGAACATTTATGTAACACTAAAAAGAAACATTTTGTTCACCTTCAGTGAAGGTCAGTAGTCAATGTGAAATGCTTTATTTTTAGATATTTTTTAAAAATACAGTTTTAAAATGTTTATTTGATTCTAATGCTCAATAAATATTAATTTAACCAAAGTAGTTTTGTTAATTGTATTTATCAGGGTAAAATCTATATAATTTCATGTTGTATTTCCAGCATTAAGCATTTAACTAATGTACATCTCTCATTGATACATCCGTTGCTTAATTTCATGAAAAATGTTTCCACACATTAAGAATATGTAAAAAAAAATTACAAATGATTTATTAAACTTCCGTTTGTATAAAATTATTTTTTTTTTTTGTTTCATTTAAAAATTGATGTATTGTTAAATAGTTAACTTCGCAAGGATTATACTTTAACACTTAAAATTATTATTACCATGTTTCTAACAAAAAATCTATTATGTTGACCAGTGCTCTGCAGGCATTTTCAAAATCATAGCACACCTAGACCTTTCCCATAATGTCACGGCACACTTCAAACCATACCAAAAATATTTGAGTTCAGAACACCAATATGTATGAGAAATGATAAGTGTTTTTTTTCATTAGATTTTTTCTTCTCGTTTTGCATATTTCCTGTTACTGGTAACATTCTTAACATTTATAATAATCCTATTTCTTGGGACCATACAGCTTGCCAAATTTACCAGTGCACCTACTTGACAAAAAATTGAATGCTTATCTTTATCCTTTTTTGACAAATACACTTTTTGTCACATAAATGTGACCACCTTAAAATCTTGAGGTATTTTGCAGCGGCACACTGACCAGTCTCATCTCGTGGAACAGAGCTATGATGTAGGCCACCCCTCCCTCCGCCTACAGTTAAAATGTGCATTTAAGTTAACTGTGAAGAGTAAAATTCAAAACCAAATAAGCCATCAGGTCACTTTCTTTTATTATTTTCTTCCTTAAAATTGTTTGTACATCATAAGCTATATAATACAGAGTAAACAAAAGAAAATTTAGTTTTCATTATGAGATAGTCATTCAAAGTATCTCAAACATAAAAAGCATGAGAAATGGACTTTACTGTAATGAAAGCAATGTACAGGATGGAATGATGCATACGAACAAATCCAGAGATTATATGAGTACAACAGTACATGAGCCTTTGCATAAAAATGTCCAACCATCGTGTCTACTATACTGTTTAATTTGTACAACAAGCTATAAAAAAAAAAAGTATCACACTTTACAGCAGACACTGGAATAATTTGCCACACTTTACAACAGACACTGGAAATATTGCTGGCCTCAACAAAAAAATGCTGGTTAGAGAAGCAGGAGCTGGGACTAACTATCCTGTACTTTCCTTGAGAGCTGAGTGAGACAGAGAGGTAGAAATACTCAAAACAACTCTGTACAAAACAAGGCTCAGGTCACACGACTGATGCAAACATTCACAACTTAGGTTTATTTTCATATATTCATACCAAAGTGACATCTCGCATCATAGAGATCTACTCATTCAAAAATAACTCAGGTAACTTAAATAATTTCATTCCATTTTTTAAAGCACAGATATCGAAAACAAAATTTAATAGCACAAAATCTGTTAGTGTCACAAGCTCAGCACTATGTCCTCTTATCCTGAACATACTATGACAAACAAACATCTGAACATATTATGACAAACAAACACCTGAACATACTATGACAAATAAACACCGGAACATACTATGACAAATAAACACCGGAACATACTATGACAAATAAACACCGGAACATACTATGACAAATAAACACCGGAACATACAATGACAAATAAACACCGGAACATACTATGACAAAAATAAACACCGGAACATACTATGACAAATAAACACCGGAACATACTATGACAAATAAACACCGGAACATACTATGACAAATAAACACCGGAACATACTATGACAAATAAACACGCAATTGATCTAAGCGTCACAGCACCCTTACGCGAGCACGCACGCAAACACATGTGCCATTGATCACACTCAACAGCACAATGACCAATGTCCATGTGCCATTGATCACACTCAACAGCACAATGACCAATGTCCATGTGCCATTGATCACACTCAACAGCACAATGACTTTCGCACAAAGACCAATGTCCATGTGCCATTGATCACACTCAACAGCACAATGACTTTCGCACAAAGACCAATGTCCTTGACCTAAACACAACAGCAACCACCCAGGCCCAGTAAAACCACCAGTGCCATGCTTGTCTAGCAACCGTACCACAAAATTAAATTAGTCTGCAATCATATTGAAACTGAACTGAAAAAAATGGTGCATATTTTTTTTAAAAATAATGCCTTTGAAGACCAGTTATAAATAGGTCTACTCAAATGAAGAGCAGCCATAACACACGGATGAATGAATCTTTTCCCCAACTACCATAAATCGCTGTCATAATAGATATTGGTGAAATATGGAAGAATGTCTACAAGTAAAAATATTATCGAATTACCTACATTTCCAAATTGATCCACCAAAAATGTATTTCACATACTGCTTTCCCACACATGCGGCCATTGTAAATGAAATCATATCAAAGTCGAGACCAACACAGCTGCTGCTTCGTAAGAGACTCAAATGAGTTTACCAGCTACCAGCTTTGGTACTGACAAACTAAGAGGTTACCAGCTCTCACAAGAGTGAACACCAGAGAGGTCACCATACACCCCTCTCCGAAGTTTAATGAAATAGAAATGGATCCATAATGAAAGAGAAACTAGAGAGGAAAAAACTGAAAGGATTTTGAATGTAAATCAAATGCCCAGTGAAATAGCAGTGTAAGGGTTTCCAAGACCAAATGTATCTCTAGGCTTTAAAAGTATTTTATATTACTACTTATTACTATAGGAAAATAAAACCCAATCTCAACAGATTAAGTTCTTAAGTCTGTAATGTTAAAATAATTGAAAAATAAAAAAAGGATTTATACTAAATGCTGCATTTACTATTTTATTTATAAGATAGGACAATCTGGCCCATCAATCAGAAAGAGTCATGAACTATTGCATGGTGTAAATTTGTTTCTAATATGATACACGTTATATGGTGATGATGTTGGCAAAAAGGAAAAAATCATTCTGAAGATGGTGTAGAGTTGGTGGTAAGGTACATAATGTAACATATTGAGGATGATCTAAAAGTGGCAGTTGTTATGATAATGGCTGCTCACAAGATGAAGGGCTGGGAGAGGACTGAAGTATCATATCGTGGATATGACAAACGTATGTGGCAACATCCACCTCAACTTCCTCGTATCTCTTGATAAATGGATCCTCCTGAAAAAAGAGACATTAAGAAAAGATCGTGGGAGGAAACTTAAATGTGTTTATAGCAATCATGATGATGAGCTGCTTATCCTAAAATATCTGCAGTTAAGTGAGAACAAATGAGTTGGGATGAAAATATATCACACGGCCGCCTACACAAAAATTTTTAAAAAATGTGTTATTTACATGAACAGAAAGTGTGCTGTAAATTAAAAGATACTAAATCTTTAAAGTTCTGAGAAAAAAATATTAATTCCAGTAAGATAATTCAAAAGCTTCTGGATGCTTCAATGCTAGAAAATAATTTCAAGTTATGCTCACCAACAATTTATTATATTTTGGTCGTTGTTTGTCTTCTTTTGTCAAACTGTTTTTAAAAAAAAGAAAGAAAAGAAGTTTTTGAATACATCATTAAATATGTTAAAACATTTTAAATTAAGCTCCATAAAAACACAACAAAAGCTCATGCTTTTAAGACCAAAAAAAATAATTTTGTATTATTATTCAAATAAACTGAATTTTTGCAAACTTGAATCTTTTAATTTTGATGAGTTCAATTTTAATAATAGCGACAGTACTTATATTAAGGACATGGGCGCCCGCAGGTAGTGGCAAGGTGGGGCACTTGCCCCCCCCCCCCTGGATTGATTGGATAAAATTTTTTTAGACAAAAATTTTATTAAAGTAAAGAGAAAATAAAGAGAAAGTAACTAAGCTGATGTCCTGTCCGTTCNTTTTTGCCCCCCCCCCCCCCTGGAAAGTTTTCTGCGGGCGCCCATGATTAAGGATAACATTAATTATTTAACTTTAAATAGTTCCTTTTCTCTATTTAAAGGTTAAAAAATATCATATTCCCTCTTACATTATTGCTTCATATTTACATAAATAAATTTATAAAGTCCTAATGCAACAAATGTCCCTATGAAAGGTTCTCAAATTTTATTAGTAATAGCTTCTTTTATAGATAAAACTTTGATTGCCAGTTGCTGTAGATCCCTCTCCACATCATCAATCATCCATCTGGCAAAGTTTTAGACCTTCTTTCTACATGCCCAGCCCAGAGTAGCCAATCCGTTTTTTTATTTTTGCTACTACTAGCATAGAATCTTGATAAAGACAATACAATAATACAATTCCTGGATGGTGCCTATGCTCCATCCATATTCATCCTTTGTTGGTTAGTATATTTTCCTGAGAGCTTTTCTCTCCCAAGTGTTGAATAGGTTTGAAAAGTTGTACTCACCATGTGTTAATAAAATTGATACACTCTACAGAGAAGGTGGAATCACTTGGTAGTCTGGGTGCTTGCCCTTGGACTACTTGCTGAAGCTGGTCAAACACGCTCTGCCATTTGGGGTATGGAAACTTGCCAGTGGCCAACTCCATCTGAGATTTTTAAACACATTGCTAGTAAAAAGCAATATATTTTAAGAAAGCTTTTCCATGGTTATAAATTACGGTATGTGAGTTTTAAATTTAACAATAAAACTTAAAGTTTGGATTTATCAAATGATTTATACCTGATTTAGTTAATTATTCCCTAAATAGAACTCAGTTGAATTCTAAAATGTGTAATTATTGATACATTTCAATTTCATTTCGTTTAGCTGAATGATAGATAATCAATGTTGTTAATCCTGACACATTAATGAGCATTTGAAAATGTTCTTACAGTGTTTTATTTTAATTGATTGATCAAGCTAGAAATTATTCAATAAGAAATATAGGCCACATGGTAAGGGGAAAACCTAAAGACAGAAGGAACAAAGCAATAGACGTTTTGACTGACAGCCAAAAAAAACAACAAAAAAAACAAACAGGCCATACAAATGTGAGTACATTGGACAGGAATAAGTTTTTATTACTGTTTTCCTTAACCATGTGCACCAATTTTCTTTATTATTTAACTTGAACAAAACTATTCATGATTTTAAAGTGTTAAATCTAATACTGACCAAAGTTATACCAAGGCTCCATACATCTGATCTTACATCATAGCCCCGGCTTGATGCTTTTGGATCAATTCTTTCAGGCTGATAAATGAAAAAAAAAAACAGAACCCCCAATTTAAAAATAGCACCAAAAGTTTAATTATAAAATCCCTCACATCTTAAAATTTAATTTAAATAGGTATATTTTATAAATGCAAAAAACAACTTACAGCCATGTATGGTCGACATCCAGCATCTCGACTCTTGGCAATAGAGTCAACAAGATGGCCGCTGATGCCAAAGTCACAGAGTTTGATATTACCTTTTCTGTCCAGCAGAATATTTGAGGGCTTTACATCTGAAATAGAATTTTTTTAATTTAAAGGTCAAAACAATGAAACTTCAAATTGTTTTCACTATAGAAAAACATAAAGTTAAAAAATTTTGGTGCTTACCATAATAAAAAGATGATAGTACTTACACAAACTTTCTGAAAAATTGAATGCCTGATTATTATTTATCTTAATTTTTCTTTAACAATGTAAAAAATGAGGCAATATTTATAAGCACATTCGAAAAATGTATTAACCTTTAATTATGTGAAAGGATATCTGACAAAAAGTCAAATTTCAATGCTTTTGAAAAACAGATGCATTATACTTTTGAGAAAAAAACTTACCTCTGTGTATAATTTTTAATTTTTCCTTTAGATAATTTAAAGCCTTGACTGTCTGAAAATATAAAAAGATTAAGTCACGTTGAAGGGGTATACAAATTATCAGATTTGTACAGCAAAAATAAACCATAATCCCATTTAAGTGTTGGTTGATTTGATTATTATTAAATAATTTTATGATTATGGTAAGACAAGAAAATACCAACTTAAATAAACCCTCAAAATTAAGTACAATTGATACACCACATTGAACTAACATAAATACTGAACTAAAGGAATACTCACTGCTACTGTGATCTTGCCTAAAATGTCCTCAGGAATGGATGCGTGTAGATCACCATATACAAATTTATAGAATTTATCAAGGGATATGTCCATCAGCTCCATACATATCCAACAATCTCCCTGATGAAATAAATTACGCCAAGTTGCACACATTTATAATTTTTGCATAGCAAGTACTAAATCATTTTATAGTTTAAAGGTGAGTGCAAACTACAGATTTTTTGCAGCCACAAAAAGTCAGTGATAAGTCCATGTTAAGAACCCACAGCTTTTAGTTGAGATGTTTACAATCTCCAGTGTTCATGACTGACACAGATATCTCACTTAGGCGTTCCCGTTAAGGAGGCACAACTATGGCTACTAAAGCAAAACTTTAATTTATACATTAAATTTTTTTTTAACTGCCCTATTTTCAAATATGTTGTTTTGATCTCTCCAATAAAATCAAGCTTGAAATTTATTTGTTTGTGTGTTTCACAAATTTGTTATCTTCCACCTATAAAATATGCCCACCAGTTAAGGCTGGTATCTCATTCCACTAGTAATTTGTAAGAAAGCCCTGTCAGTTGATGACATTGCATGATAAGAATATGATGGTATTGAGCTTGTATATTGCTGACATTTCCTGCAACTTGACAAAACCATAAAAAAGACACCAGTTGGCCCCAATTTTTTTGTCCAGCAAGTAGCACGTGGTCACAGAAATCTGGCAATTCAAATGGCAAAAAGAACCCAGCTAAGAATCTCAATGACTAATCCGCAATGTGAACATTACCTTTACAGTTCATTTAATCCTCACCAGTTCATCAAGCCGTTCGCTTATTAAACATTTTTGAGTGTTAAAATTAAAATCTTCAACATATAATTATACATGATTTATTGAATTATTCATGTGAACACTGTCTGTTTCAACAACCATGTCTTTGAATCAATTTTTTTCTTCTTTTTTGATAAATAAAACGGAGAAAAAGGGTATTGATGCTGACCTCTTTGAAGAGTGCACCAAAAAACTGAACAATATATGGGCAGTCATTACTTCTCATGACCACGTCTAAATCCATGAGAAGTTGTTTCTGGTCTCTTTCTTCTACAGTTGACCTGATTCTCTGCAATAACGAAAAAAACAACATAGCTTTTATCTGTAAATATGATGGTTGTAATTGTCAAACATTTTGTTAATCGTCATGTACAGTGAAGAATATTTTCAAATAATCCAATAATATTACTAACTGAACAATCAAGCTCAAGTCGGAAGTAAAAAGCAAAGAAATATTTTAACACAAATTTAACTAGCACAAGCATTAAAAAATTAGCATTGTTCGGATACAGGATTTCTGACAAGGATGTTGTCTGATTTTTATATGAACACTCCATAGGAGATACTTAAAAATATAATTATAATTGTGCCTTGAGAATAATATTTTTCAAATGAATTAAAATTGTATTTATGCAGAAAACACAGTAGTGGAAAGAGTATCCGTCAAGAGCAAATTTTAATTGAGAAACTGAATGAGAAGCATCACTCATCACTTCATTGTGAAATTTACACTGACCCCACCAGAAACCCTAAAACCCCCATAGAAACACGTTTTTAAAAAAAAAAATGTCCATTGTTTCAGGGAAGAGGGTACTCCAGCAACTTACTTTAACTGCCATAATTGTGCCACTCTTGTCATGGATCATCTTATTGACAAAGCCATAGTTACCACGCCCCATTTCACCTAGGTCTTTAAGATCTTCTGATGTGAACTCGAAAGACTGAAAACAAAATAATTTAAATACATTACACTGGATATTTTAATGTTAGCAGACCTGTTTACCCTCAAACTCTTAAAATTGTACAATATCATGACAAAATCTTTCAATACATTATCTTAATAGTGAAAAAATAAACAAAGTATATATAATGTATAACCTCAAAATCGTACATTGTATGCCAAAATCTGAAGAGTAAATGGGTCTGTATTAGGCACATAAGGGCTATTACAGGAACAAAAGCAGTTATATATACATATCAATCAAAATATAGACTTCATTGTGACCATTTATTATTATTAGTGTAGACAAAAATGTCTTAACCGCTTTTCAGCCATAAAATTTAAAATGACCATTTCACACAGCCTTCATTAAATTTAAAATTAAAGTACAGGGATTTCAATTTCCTCAGTCTCCTTTAAAATTGGTTAATTCTCTTTCACCTCAGAGTGAGGAAAATATGTTTATATATATAAAGAATACCCTATCTTAAAAATAAAATGCCCATTGAATGACATTCACCTCTTCTGGAGATATTTGCAGCTTGCCAGTTGTCCTTTCAATGCCTCTTGAACGAAGCCTTTCTCTAAAGAACAAATATAACGTAAATGAGTTTTAAAACATTGAACAATGAAGTTTATAATAATATTTTTAAGGTTTCACCCAAAACAAAAAATCTGTATGAACAAAACAAAATATATTATTATAACAAAGACACTTCCCCTGTAAAGGACAAAAGTCAGATGTGTTAAAACAAATCAATTTAATGGCACAAATGCTATAAAATAGGATAGTAACTAATTGTTAGACAATTATAACTACTATAGACAATTTGTACGTTAGTCACTGTCTCTTTTTTTAAATTTGGGGTAAAAATGCAGATTTGTTTTAACCCTCGAACTGTGGTCGGCCGACATTCTCATTCTGTGCTGTGGCTGCCGAAAACAAAATCGGCCGATAAAAAACTCTGCCCTATAATAGCAACTTCCAATCCAATATTTAACCGAAATCACAACCACTTCCTTTTATTAATAATTAAATCAACTTCCAGGTCAAGCTGTTTCTTGTTAACTTAATAATAAGTACTTTTTAATCAGAATTTTTTATCGCTGTTTTTTTTAAAAGCTAAAATGGTAGATGCTGTGGCCGGGGCCTTCAGTGGGAGAACTAATATATATATTTTTTAAAGCTTTTTAGGAGAGGATTTAAGTGATACTGATGATGATTTTAACATTCCCCATGACATCTGACTTCAGATTCTTCTTTTCGTGAATCTGATACTAGTCTTAGTGATACTGAAGTAAGCCTACTGAGGCAACTGTTAGACTTCAAGCCAGGCCTGGAGGTTGGGTAAGGACTGAATGAATTTAAGTCACAGAAGCTACAGATTATAGATCAGAACTAATAAATTTTATAGTATAACAACCCAAATCAGTTCCACAGTTCCTTTTTAAATGTTTACAAGTCAATAATAACTATTTTGCCTGAAATTTTGTATTTTGTACTTGGTTTTAGCTGTGGTCCCAGTTTCTTATATAAATGACTTAAATTGCTTTCAGAGGTTTAATTGTAATCAAAACCTTAGCAAACTATACATTTTCTGAAAGATAAATGAATTTGCTACAACATTTAGATTTGTTTTTTAAGTGTATCTATAAAAATTAATGATGTCATGAGCACTTGAAAGCAAGACATTTTGTCGATTTTTTTTTCTTGAGCACTCCAAGGTAAGTAGCGAATTTTTTTTTACGGGGTGGGCAATATAGCCAACTTTATCCCCATCCATTTACCTTTCTAAAAATATATAATTATTGGGGTCTTGTATCAATATTTCTATGTCATTTAATGCAATTTCAAAAGGCACTCAAAAAGCTCCCCACCACAGAATGATGCATGCCACAGTTCGAGGGTTAAAGTAGAGCATCTTGGCATACTAGGGGCAACATAAAATAGAGCAGATTATTACATCTTGGCATACTAGGGGCAACATAAAGTAGAGCAGATTATTACAACTTGGCATACTAGGGGCAAAATTTAAAATCTAGAAAGTGACACCATTTACAAAACTGTATTATCTGCAAATATTTAACAGTAAATCAAACCATGCACTGTCTTTGTGGTAGCTTTACTATCAATGAATCTATTGGATATGAAGGCTTAACAACACTAAGAAAAATGTGAAGTTAATACTAACATCTGTGCTGTGTGACCAAGATCTGCAAGGATGGAATTTGATGGGGATGGCTGTTTTATGCTGCTTGGAGTGGCACTCGGGCTTGGTGATCCTGCGACAAAGTCGAGCCGCAGACTCTGCCTGATCTCTGCATTAACGAGAAGATGTCATTGGGTTTTAAAAACCAGTAAAATAAAAACAAGTACTATAAAACAAAGTATGACTAAAAAAAAAAAAATAAAAAAAAAAAAAAAAAAAAAAAAATTTTGTGAATCTTCAATCATTTAAATGTAAACTTTGGAAGACATTTTAAAGGACTTAAAACTGATTTTGTTGAATTAAACTTGATAAAGATATTTATTAGGTAGGATTTAACTCTATTATGTAAAATTTAATTTACATTAATTCGTTGAAGAAGAAATTAGCAGAAATTTTTAAATGTCTATGTGGTATAATAATTAAAGCTTTAAGCTACATTTACACAAATTGTTCATTTCTCATTAATGTACTTAAAAGCTTTATCGCAGCCCAGCCCTCTACTTTATAATTAGTTAATTGATAATATACATAATAAGCATTTAATCCATCAGTTGGTATAATCAGTTCATAATAATAATAACTAAATTAAAAATTTTATTTTGGCAACTGAATGGGAGTTCAAGTCATCAACAAATGCAGCCTTGTGAAATGAATTTTGTTTTTAATAATGGCTCCTTTGAATTACTAACCCAGCAATAATAAGTTCATTCACAATAAGTATACCAAATTGAAATGTTCTATTACTAAAAAAAAATCCCCAGGCATTTTTAGGAAGCACAATGCTACTGTAGAAAAATATTTGAAGGAACATAATTGAAAGGAGCATACAAAAAAAAAAAAAAAGAAAATCATTTTTACTACCTGGAGCCTTCTTCAGTTTATTCTGATGCCATGCCATATTTACAAAATGCCTCCACAGATAAAATACTTCCAAGTCTTGATAACATATATTAATATTTACTTTCAAACTTATTTGAAACAGGAAAACCACACAAACATTTCTCAAAATCTAATTGTCACAAATTATCACGATCCACTTTGAAATCAGTACTAGGAATTCATGTATGAAAATGAAAAGGAGTGTATCCCACAGAAAGATCATGCATCTGGAATGCAGTCCCAGATAGACTTAAACTAGGCCAGTTGTTCAAACAACCAAACAATTGACACACATAGCCCTTAAAGCCAGAGCACCTTGTATGGGGTTTTCCCCGTTTTAACCATTCAGGTGTTGGGGGCCTGTGACACTTTAAACAAAATTCATTTATGGTTTATATTTGGAAGGGTGGCGTGACTGATAGCTTGAAAGGTGAAGACAAGAGGTCAAACATGTGGTTTGGAATTTTGGGTAAAACCCCCTAGTCATAGTCAAATCCTAATTTTTATGCAAGCCACGGCCCTTGTGTGTTTTTGGAAGACTCCCTGGGATTGAGAAAAAAACATAACACCTGTAAGTGTTTCATGACACACTGTTTCTCTTAATGAACTGTGGCAATAAATGTGCATTTATCAAAATTTGAGAACATAAGAAGAAAAGGATTCAGAATAATATTTTACTTGATGATGTTTTACTGAGAAATGGTCAATGTCTGATAAATTTGTTGATGAAAGAGCTAAGTAACAGAAAGGCATCAATGAAAAAATCCTATAGCTTTTAATTGGTATTTTCAATGATCTGCTGCCATTTTATTTGTTCACATGATACACACACCATGTTTATATTCTGAAAGAATTTAATTTACTAACATTTTAAGACCTGACATTAACACAATAAATCCTTTAGGATGATAAGATGAAATAAAAATCTATGACGGATATTAATATTTGTGCTTAGGGCACACATTTACTTAGAAAAACGGAAAAAAAGTGTTTTTCAATTGATAGTAGAAACAAAATTAATTTAGACCTTGAAAATGTATTTTCTTTCTAAGCTGCTGTAAACTATTCAAAATAGTAATTATGTAGGTAATAAATTTTAATAGTGATTAGATTATAATCATTTAGTAGATCTAGATCTTGTTAACAAAAACAGAGGACTGATTTCCTTTGAAAACAACTATTTTTTAACACTGAAAATTAAGAGTGTATCGTTCCAACACTAATATGTTTAAGTATAGAAGCACACAGGATAAGGGTTTGTTAAAGTTGTGAGAATTGGGGCCTTTAAATGTACCAGTGATGCCAACAATCTGTTATTGTTTGGCCAACAAAGTTGTGTTCAGTAGGGCATCTGACATTTTATCATTGATATAGTAATTAACATGTGTAATGAGTTTATGTGATACACCCTTACAAACCTGCACAATGAATCAATTTGATACACCCTTACAAATAAGGACAATGAGTCTACGTGACACTGTTACAAACCTGGATAATGAATCAATGTGATACACCCTTATACAAACATGGACCAGGCTGTTGAACTCACATTTCAATTTTTCATTGAGCATTGTCAAAATGCAAGATATAACTAATGGGTAGTATGCATCAGCTTTTAGAACAACTGAATGTTTGTATAGTATTTCAGACATGTATCATTCGGGAAATATAGGGAACATTAAATACACTGGGCATTCCTCTTTATAAACAAGTATATAGTAAATATGTTTTTAAACAAATTAGGTGACCTGAAGATAATTTTTTGTTAAAACAAAAGTATTATTAAAATACACTTTAAATATTTAAAAAGGATATGCAGTATTGAGTATGAGCTAAATTGAAACAGAACAATGGTGAGATATGTGAGCTCAAATTTGAGAATTATTCTATAGGTTAGAACAATTTTAACCTTTCCAAGAACTGACTTAATTTTTTACAAAAACTAATGTTATTAACTATAGACCTACTAGCTCTTCAAGTTTCTGGCACCGCTGTAGAACCACACATAAATTATAGGCACAACACAAACTCTCTCTCCTGAGGGAGGTCTCATTTAATCTTACTCCCCTTAACATCTTCACCTGCTTGAGACAGAGGCTTTTTAGACTGTCAGGTCTCATTTAATATTACTTTAGTCCCCTTAACCCGCTTGAGACAGAGCATTTTTGGACTGTCAGTGGCAATAAGACGAAGCTATTTTTACATGTCCTGCACTTACTATGCAAAAAAAGTTATCAAAAAATAAACGAATTAATTTACAAATATAAGAATGTACGGTATATTATAATATGTCTTACTGGAAGAACTTTTAGTTGAAGCCTAAATAATTCCTGAATGATCAATCTGATAAACTGCACAAAGAAATCCTCTGTAGGTGCTTATGCCTTTTGGCACATCACAAGGTCACATTCAAAGGGCTCACTAGGTACAAAAAAAATTGCTATCAAATAACTATACTGAAAATAAACCGTTAACGATCAACGGAAGCCGCCATTAAAATAGCAAGATAAACAAATGTGAGAAGCAATCTGATTAGCTCGTATAAAGACCAGCCAGGTAATTTTGAGGCTTCTATTATTGGGTGGATGGATCTGTTCATCGTCTTTTTAGCCCATTGACTCTGGGCCGAAAGATCTGCCCAGCCGTCGCAAGACGGTTTAAGATAAGTCTGTCCTTTTATCACAATTATAATGAAAATATCAATGATCTCCCCTTTGTGTATCATGCTGCTTCATATCAATGATCTACCCTTTGTGTTAAGAGAACATTTTTTCCTGAATAATTGCCTTTTATTATCATTAGCAATTTATTAGTATTAGTTAATTTATCTATGAGAAGGTCAAGTTGCAATTTAAATTCTATTTCTAGCCTTTATGAGCCTTAAAGTGCCTAGTTTTTGGCTTTTAAAATTGCCAGTATAAAAAAATATTCAGACAAAGTAGGCTATTTTTCACCCATTTCGGTAATCATGATATCTGCGAAAAGAGCCAATTCAAGTTATGTAACTTCAGTAAGTATTATCCAGTGCGATCCTTTGAAATAATCTCTTTAAAAAAGTCATTTGAATCTTCCTTAGCGTAACAAGGTTTAAATAAATAAATAATCTGCTGGATGGACAGGTAGGCCATTAAACATTTACACCTTCAAGTTGAGTAGTGCCTTGATGTGTATACTGGCATACGCCTTATTTCATAATGTCCTTATACCTAGGCTTGTAACATTTTCTGTATGGAAAGTTGGATAAGAATATTAGGCCAGTTACAGATGAGTAGCTAAGATTAACGAGGGCAGAAGGGGGCAGATGTCCATGAACGCCAAACTACTTAGGGGCACCAAAATGGGTTTCGACCGTATTTTAATGATAAAAATAATAATAATGGGTTTGAGAGTTGAAGGGGGCGTAACTATGTATCTTGTCGATGTGTGCTAAACACTCTAGCTGTGCCTCCGGTCAGTTTGTTTGTACATTTTGATCAAGGATTCTGAACTTTAAAGTACCGGGTAAGTAGGCATAACAAAAGTGCCATAAATCAAAATCATATTAGCGGATTGTAGCTACAGTACAGCGTCTGTACTGGACTATTGGTGAAGGCAAATGTCTTTACTCATTTCAATTTCAGTGTAGTAGCCATAGGACCTATGCCCTATACCAGATTTAGGCTAAGCTTATATTTTTATTATAACAGTAGCTAAGTAGGCAGTAAGTGTAAGTAGGCAGTAAGTGTGAGTAGGCAGTAAGTGTAAGTAGGCAGTAAGTGTAAGTAGGCAGTAAGTGTAAGTAGGCTAGTATAATTCAATAGGCATAGGGCTAAATGCAAAGGTCTACCTACTTGCCTACTTGAGTTATAGTGATCATCTCATCTAGTCATTTGCCTGATTTGCACACTAAATTATAGACCACAACTAGACTAGTGTGTCAAGAGTCATATGTTCATACTCTAAGTCTTGGTAAAACAGTTTTTAATTATATAATTTGTAATTGTAGCCTGCCAATTCATTATTCAATGGGATATATTATAGATTATAGGATATAATATAAGGCAGGGCAATATAGGCAGTGCCAGGCCTAGGATAATAAAATAAATAACTAAGCCAAGGCTATCTTATATTGACTTTGTCATGTAATAAATATTGGCCTAATAATACGATCAGTTGAAAAAGATGGTTTTCTTTTAAATGTTGACGAAGACTAGCAGAAAATTCGAGGATGATATCGAGGGCTAAAAATAGGAATGCAACAAGGAAGGAATGCTCTTCAAAATCTTTGGTCAAAATATTTATTTTGATTTTACTGAGAGCCAACTGAAACTGGTTCATTGATCTTTTCGGCCTATTAAGATAACATGTTCAACGAAAACCTAAAATACGTATCTCCATACACTTTCAACTGGCCGACAGGACTACATAGTTAATGAGTCATATGTCCGAAAATAGTGAATGTAACCTAACGGAGATCCTGAGAGAACCCACCACTACTTTGATCACCAGAGTCCGGAGCCGCCATCTTGGAGTTTCGGCTGAAATTTGCCAGCTTTCTGAAGTCCTGCTGGGCAGTATCCTGCCCATAAACAGTGTCGTTCGGCTGCCAGCGTCTTGGAGTAGCTTCTTGTCGAGGCGAAGAAAATCCTCTTAAGCCATCGGAAAGTGAGCTTGGTCGCCGAAGTTCATTTCTTTTTGATGACTCATCGATGATTTCGTCGGGAAAATCCCTTGACGTCATGAGGCTAACTTCACTTTACTCTCTAAAACTATCGTCAACCTCGAGATTCTCGGCGACCTCACCGAGTTTAACCTTTGACAGGAATGACCTGGGTAAATTCAACCATCGAGAGACATTTCATGGGACATGATCCATACATTTCTACGAAAAATACTGCTGTTGCATTAGTTATTCCCCTTACAACACATAAATCAGTCACAGACCTGCCTTAGAAAAAGTATATGTGACATATGCCATTGATCAATTTTCATCATACTTTTAAGTTTACGTCAAGTTTATCCACTAAGTGGATACGTTTACCTTTTTCTTTCATCCGTGACCGGTACCAGATTTATTATTATTATTATTTAAAAACAAAAAACCAACAGATTAAACAGAAAAAAACCCAAAAAACCTTGAATTTACATTTGAATCCGCTGTCAACCAATGTAATATAATTCTATTAACCATTGTCAATGTATGCAATCAGCAATAAGAGTGTTTGTTTTTTGTTATGACTTTTATCCAGGACCTTGTCTCATGTTGTGTGGTCAGACAACGCAAGGATTGAAATATAAAACAACAAATCTGAAGCACGAACGTCTCCTTCCATGAACAGAGCACAACAACAACACCAACGACGACAACAACGACGACAACAACAACACCAAAACCAACACCAATACCAACACCAACAACGCCAACAACACCAAAGCCAACACCAACAGCACCAACACCAACGGCGACAACACCAACGACGACAACAACACTAACTACACCAACACCAACGACGACAACACCAATACCAACGACGAAAACAACAACACCAACACGAACGAGGACAACAGTAACACCAACACCAACACCAACACCACCAACACAAACGACGACAACAACAACACCAACACCAATACCGACACCAACAACACCAACACCAACGACGACAACACTAACACCAACGACGACAACAACAACACCAACACCAACGACGACGACACCACCAAAAACACCAACAACACCAACACCAACACCACCAATACCAACACCACCAATACCAACACCGACACCACCAACACCAACACCAAGAACACCAACACCAAAACCACCAATACCAACACCGACATTACCAACACCAACAATATCAACACCAACAACACCAACACCACCAATACCAACACTGACATCACCAACACCAACAACACCAACACCAACAACACCAACACCTCCAATACCAACACCGACATCATCAACACCAACAACATCAACACCAACAACACCAACACCAACAATACCAAGACCAACAACACCAACACCAACAACACCAACAACCAAATACTCATAAGAGAGTGATCCCTAGACACAAGCAGGTGTGACACTCATAAGAGAGTGATCCCTAGACACAAGCAGGTGTGACACTCATAAGAGAGTGATCCCTAGACACGAGCAGGTGTGACACTCATAAGAGAGTGATCCCTAGACACGAGCAGGTGTGACACTCATAAGAGAGTGATCCCTAGACACGAGCAGGTGTGACACTCATAAGAGAGTGATCCCTAGACACAAGCAGGTGTGACACTCATAAGAGAGTGATCCCTAGACACGAGCAGGTGTGACACTCATAAGAGAGTGATCCCTAGACACGAGCAGGTGTGACACTCATAAGAGAGTGATCCCTAGACACGAGCAGGTGTGACACTCATAAGAGAGTGATCCCTAGACACGAGCAGGTGTGACACTCATAAGAGAGTGATCCCTAGACACGAGCAGGTGTGACACTCATAAGAGAGTGATCCCTAGACACGAGCAGGTGTGACACTCATAAGAGAGTGATCCATAGACACGAGCAGGTGTGACACTCATAAGAGAGTGATCCCTAGACACAAGCAGGTGTGACACTCATAAGAGAGTGATCCCTAGACACGAGCAGGTGTGACACGCATAAGAGAGTGATCCTAGACACGAGCAGATGTGACACTCATAAGAGAGTGATCCCTAGACACGAGCAGGTGTGACACGCATAAGAGAGTGATCCTAGACACGAGCAGGTGTGACACACATAAGAGAGTGATCCCTAGACACGAGCAGATGTGACACTCATAAGAGAGTGATCCATAGACACGAGCAGGTGTGACACGCATAAGAGAGTGATCCATAGACACGAGCAGATGTGACACTCATAGGAGAGTGATCCCTAGACACGAGCAGATGTGACACTCATAAGAGAGTGATCCCTAGACACAAGCAGGTGTGACACGCATAAGAGAGTGATCCATAGACACGAGCAGGTGTGACACTCATAAGAGAGTGATCCATAGACACAAGCAGATGTGACACTCATAAGAGAGTGATCCCTAGACACGAGCAGGTGTGACACGCATAAGAGAGTGATCCATAGACACGAGCAGGTGTGACACTCATAAGAGAGTGATCCCTAGACACAAGCAGGTGTGACACTCATAAGAGAGTGATCCCTAGACACGAGCAGGTGTGACACTCATAAGAGAGTGATCCCTAGACACGAGCAGGTGTGACACGCATAAGAGAGTGATCCCTAGACACAAGCAGATGTGACACTCATAAGAGAGTGATCCCTAGACACGAGCAGGTGTGACACTCATAAGAGAGTGATCCCTAGACACGAGCAGGTGTGACACGCATAAGAGAGTGATCCCTAGACACGAGCAGGTGTGACACTCATAAGAGAGTGATCCCTAGACACAAGCAGGTGTGACACGCATAAGAGAGTGATCCATAGACACGAGCAGGTGTGACACTCATAAGAGAGTGATCCCTAGACACGAGCAGGTGTGACACTCATAAGACAGTGATCCCTAGACACGAACAGGTGTGACACTCATAAGACAGTGATCCCTAGACACGAGCAGGTGTGACACTCATAAGAGAGTGATCCCTAGACATGAGCAGGTGTGATACTCATAAGAGAGTGATCCCTAGACACGAGCAGGTGTGACACTCATAAGAGAGTGATCCCTAGACACAAGCAGGTGTGACACTCATAAGAGAGTGATCCCTAGACACGAGCAGGTGTGACACTCATAAGA